TCAGGCCCACCACGAGGACCCTCCTGCCCCTGCAGGGATGGCTCAGCCGGTGGCAGATGCAAGGCCCCCGGCTGGGGCTTGGGCTCCAGGCTACATGGGTTGCCAGTCGCATTGCAGCGTTTGGGGTTCCCTTTAAGGACCCCCACCCCGTGCTCAGAGGGAGGCCACACTCAGCCACCAAGTCTAGCTAAGTGGGGACAGGTCCCCCTACATCAGGCCCCCAAGTGTGATATTCAAGGATGCTGGGCCCTGCCTTGGATCACACGCAGATTCATTCATCTGGCACATAGCACTTCTTCATTTCCGCACCCACTCATTCATTCACTGCCCTGGGGAGGAGGCGGCCTGGGGCCAGGCACGGGCCTTGGGGCGGGACTAGCCAGCAGGCCTGCCCTCAGCTCTTGGCTGCTCCGGAGCCTCGGGTGCAGGAGACCCGGGGGAAGGCCCACGACCCCCAGCCTCTTGCTGCTTGTATGGGGGGGCAGCAAAGCAAGGTTTACTGAGTGGGGGTACAAAGCTCCCAAAGAGAGAGGGAACCCGAGAGTTTTGCCCCTCTTGCTGCCTTCTCTGTCTGCTCCCTGAGGCCTGGCGGGCCTCCTCAGAGCTCTTGCCAGTCAGGGGCCGTCAGGCCGGTGGCACTGCCCACAGGCTCAGGAGGGGTCACCCCTGCGGCGCTGTGCAGAGTGGGCGTGGTGGGCTTCTTGAGCCCAGGGAAGGTGCTGGCCTTTCCGGGCTCAGGTGGCAGGCTCCAAGCCCGCTCCTTCCTCCTCAGCCGGGGCTGGGGAGCGGAGTCCGTGAGGACCCAGAGAAGGCAGACAGGCTTGCCGTGTGCCCTCAGCCAGAACAACGCCGTCCTCTGGGCTCCCTCAACAGCCCACGTGCAGCCAGGAGAGGAGCACCCCGATTCCGCGCTGCCCCAGGGAAGGTGCGTGCTCTTCCCGTGCAACCCCTGCATGCCAATCAGTGCTTGAACCAACGGGATTCCACAGGGCCCACCCTGTGGCTCCTCATTAGATGCACCCCACAAATCTTTACTGAGTAGCTACGGCATTGCCCTGGGGGCGTCTTCCATCAGGAAGGTGGCCCAGAGATCTCTGGTGGGAAACGAGCCAGCGGGAGCATGAGGACATAATGCAGCTTTTCATTAGGCGCCTGGGCTCTGTGTTGGGTGGGTTTGTCCCGGGCTCGGGACGGCTCGTCTCTGAGCCCCACAGCTGGGAGGACGTGGAGGCAGGGGCGACGGGACGGCTGATGGCTAGAGCCACTGGTAGTGTCTTCGGGGCCCAGGCCTGGCTGGATCCGGGCGGTGCGGGCACGCGGTCGCCTCCGTGGGCTGGTCGGGCTTCCTCGCAGCATGGAGGCTGGTTCCCAGGGGGAGGGTCCAAGAGAGTGGGGTGAGGGGTGGGCGCCGGGCATTTCTGTGAGTGCCCGTTAGCCGAGGTGTGGCGGCAGCCTGCCCCCCGCTGTAGACCAGGTAGAGGAAGAACACCACACGGTCCGGCATCTCTGCGGGCCTGCCCCCATGCAGGTGGCTTGAGGCAGAAATAAGCCACGCAATGACCCACCAGTAAACCACAGTGTCAGCGTCTCCGCTCGGAGCAGACCACCCTGAGTCTAGCGACCTAACCCACGTTTACTACGTCCCGCCCGGTCTCCGAGGTCTGAAGTCCCGCAGGCCTTGACCGCCGGCCCCCACCCCCGCCCTGCTCAGGGTCTCCTGGGCAGGTTCCTCAGGGAAGGGTGCCTGCAGGCTCGGCTGGTTGCTGGCAGGGCCGTTTCCCAGAGTCTGAGGAGCCCAGGCCCCGGCTGCCTGGGGGCTGGTGGACGCCCTGGGCTCCCCCGACCCTATGGCTGCCCACCCTGGGCCGCAGGAGAGCCTTTGGAGGCTTACATCAGCGGGGGACAAAGTCAGCGGGGTTCTGTGCCTGGAAGCAGATCCCAGGTCCCGCCCGTCTCAGAGGGAGCCCCGGGAGCAGGTGAGAGGCCGGCAGGGGGCGGCGGGAGGGGCTGCCGGAGCTTGCTGCAGGCTGTGGGGGGCGCCCGCCACGCCAGCCGCCACCGGACAAGCACCAGCCGGCAGGAGGACGCCAGCCTGCCCGCACTTGTCCTGGGCCGCGCGCACCGCCCGGGGCTCCGGACCCTCGACGTTAATGGACGCTTCCGCAGAAAGTGCGGCACAGGGTCTGGACGGGTATTTTTGTCCAGTCCCCGCTGCTCAGCCCCGACAGGGTCCCACCCCCCCACACCCTTCCTGGGCTCAGTGACCGCAGGGCCCGGTGCCCTCCCCACTTAGGGGGCTCATCTGCCCTTAAAATGAGGAGGCTGTGTGCCAGGCACACTCTGGCAGGTGCACACAGCCGGGGGGGCACCTCCTTGGGGAAGGGCTTCGGGCTGGGAAGCCCATCCCACCAGGGGCTCTCTCCCAGTCCGCTCCGCCAGTCCTCAGGTGAGGCCAGGCCCACCCTGCCCCAGTCCTCGCCTCCCCCTCCTGCTCCCACAACAGGCACCTCACTTCACCCTGAGACTAAGGACCCCCCAGCTTAGAGCTTAGACGTGGACCACGGCTCCGAGGTCTCCAAAGCCCACCTGCCCGGGGCCCAGCCCCTCACCTCCAGCTCGGAGGGTCAGTGAAGTGTCTGCTCCCCGCTGCAGGGTCCGAGCGGGGCCACCAGCCCTGCCACTCTGCTGGCCACGTGAACCCAGGCCTCACCTGGACAGACATCCCCGCCCTGGCCACAGCAGGCGGCAGGAGAACCAGCGCGAGGGGCCCAGGGCCGGCCTGCTGTCCTCATATGGGGCTCCCCATCCTGTGCGGCCAATCTCTGGGAGTCCCCATAACCTGCCACGCCAAGGCAGTCCACGGAAGGGCATGGGCCTGGGGCCAGAGACGGTAGGCTCCAGGAGAGGGGGCAGCCCTTCCCCGGTCTGGAGGAGCCCACGCTGTGCTCTCCGCAAAGGCCAGAGGCTCTGCCTGGGATGCGTGTCCTCAGCCGGCACCTTGATTAGTCTGGGTTGGTGCGGACGCGACCAGCACCTTCATCCCCGAGGGTCTCTGCTGGCCTGCTCCTGGCACAAGAAGCCCAGAGTGACCAGTGGGCACACTCCGCTCAGAGCAACTGCCCCCCCTGCACCCCTGGCCTGCCCAGGAGCCCGGACTCTGACCAGGCAGAACCCGGGCCGACAAGGTCCCCAGATGGGTCCAGAGGCGTGGGGGAGCTGGGCCCGGGCCCAGAACAGGGCAGCCACTGGCCCAGCGTCTCGTGCTTCCCGGAGTGCCAGCCCTTCCCGAGCCTTCCCCGCTGGCCCACGCGGTCAGACCAGCTGCTTCTGGGCGCTGGGCTTCACGTGGGCTGCGCGGGCCGCGTGGCTCCAGAGCGGTCAAGAGACCCTGGCCGAGCTGGAGCGAGGGCCGTGCTGGGAGGGGCCGTCCCCCCGGTGGCCGTCCAGCACACAGTGGCCCGGCTGCCCAGCCACAGTGCCCACAGCTGCCCCGTCCGCAGCACGGGGTGCGTGTCCCCCTGTCCACTGGGAAGGGAAGAGCAGGGAGGCCGGAGGAGGTGAGGGCCTGAGATCAGGCTGGACTTACAACTGTGTCTCCAGCCGTCTGTCCGGCTGTCCAGGCAGAGGAGGGAATTTATCCCCCAGCCCCTTCCCTCATCTAAGGTTCAACCTTAGTGGGTAGGTCACGGTGGGGGCCGAGAGGGAGCCCCGAGGGAGGAGGGGGCAGGAGACAGGAAAGCAGCCGGCGACCCGAGCTCCAGCCCCGGGGACCGCCTGCCATGCCGCTTGCAGCCCCCAGCCGTGCAGCCCCCCCTGCTAGTGCTGCGCCCAGACTCTGAGCCCCCCACCCTGCACCATCGGCCCTGCTCGTCTGAGGGGGGAGGAAGGCTGGCCCACAGTGGGGACCCCACTGTTTACTGATGGGGAGTCCCTTTCTTTCCAGCCAGGCCTGACTCCAGAACCCACCATGCTGCCAAGTCAGCAGCAGCAGGGGCCGCGAGCACGCGTCTCAGGCCCCAGGGACGTCAGCGTGGGGTCCCGGACGGGGGGCCCCGGACGGGGGGCAGCCGCGATCATCACAACTGACTGCGAACTCTCGTTCTGCTTCACCGGCCAGCTGCTGACACGGACACAGGCCAGGCCCCTCGCCGTGAACCAGCCCCGTCCTCACCGCGTCTGCGGCTGGACAGGGATGCCACCCCTCAGTCATGGACTGGCGGGGAGCGGGACGCCTCCCCACTGCCCGCTCCCCATCACGGCCTCGTGGGGCTGGAGTGTCTGCCCGTCTGAGTGTGGGCTGGGCCGAGGGGGGATCCGCTCCGGCCAGTGGGCCCCTCAAGGGCGTGGTGTGGGCTGAGGCCTGCGCCGTCCCCACAGGCGGCCCTCACACACTGGCCAGCGCTGGCCCTTGCAAGCCGGGCCCACAAGGGACAGGCAGAGGAGGGACAGTGAGGCAGCAGACCCGACTCCAGGCTGAGACGCAGAGCTGGCGGCCAGCTGGGGAGGGAGGTGCGGGGACACACTCACGTGTGGAGTGACTGGGGCGGGGGGCGGTGAGGGGAAATCCCCAGAATGGCCCTGTGCCCCTTCCAATCCTTGGCCCCAGCCTCCCAGGGTCCCTGTCGGCCCAGCCACTGTCCCGAGACACCCAGAGGAGGGGCTGGGGACGGAACCCCAGCTTGGGGCCCCTGGCTCCAGCCTGTCGCACCCAACACGTCCCCAGGGTCCCCTCCCGGGCCCCTCCCCACCAACCACGTGGGCTTGGCCACGGGGAGGAGGTCACCTCCAGCCCTCTGAGCCATTTCAGGGAGGCAGGGAGGAGGGCCGACATTCCTGCCCAGAGACCCTGTAGGCGCCAAGGATCTGTGGCCAGGCCTTCTTCTTCCGTGGGGCACCCCTTGGAGGGGGTGCCTCGGGGTCTGTGGGCAGCGCGTGTCCCTCCAAGCTGGTGCAGGCAGGGCTGGGCCGCGGTGTGACGGCGGGCAGAAGAGCCAAGCAGACACAGGACAGAACCTTTATTGCTGAACATAAAACACCCACCAGGGAGCCTGGCAGGAGTCCTGGGGGGAGGTGGGGGGTGCGTAGCACTGCTGCTCACACCCACAGTGGGCACAGGCCTGGCTGGGAGCCCTGCCCGGCACCCCTCTGGGCTGGGGGGAGTGGGAGGAAGGTGGGTGTGCAGAGGGGCTGGCTGGGCAGAGCCCTGGGCACACACTGGTCACGGAAGGCTGAGGGCCAGGTGGGCAGAGCCACGGCCCCGGGGCTCCCGGGGGGGACTCGGCGGCAGGCGGCCTCTCCTCTAGGGCATGGGCCTTCTTCCTCTCCAGGAACGAGGGGCTGAGGTAGGCGCGGGCTGGCCCCCTGGGCCCTCACAGACGGGGTTTGATGTGCAGAGTTTTCCCTGTTCCGAGAAGGGCAAAGATCAGGTGCCAGGAACCCCCCCAGCCAAGGAGGAGCGCCCCTACTGCCGAAGCTTCCGGTTCAGGTTGGGGGAGACTCCTTCCAGCCCCCTGCCTGCGCTGGGGTCCAGGGAGTCACAGCAATCTGCTGGCGGGGCTATAAATACCAGGTGTGTGCCCGCTGCACGCAGGCCCGACGACGTACCCACGCTCCCACGCGGAGCCAGGCTGCCAGACGCACACATGGACGCTCACCGTGCCTTCTGGCTCAGCAGCCGAGCGAGCAGCTGGCTGGGGAGGGGTGGAGGGACCTGGGTCCCTGTACAGAGGGACAAGGCCTAGGGGCAAGAGGGCCTGGGGGCAGGGACGGCTTCCTGCAGCAGAGCAGAGGGCCTGAGGACAGGAAGTCACGTCCAATGGGGGGTTCCTGCGCGGTGTACCCCACGCTCACGGGGCCTCAATGCCTCTCCTCTGCTGTGAATGCTCCAGGCCACCTCTCAGGCTGGCACCCCCGCTGACCACAGATGCCTCCACGTGGCTGCCCTGAGGCACGGCACCATCTACGTGTCCCCATGAGCCTGCCTCTCCTCCTGGGTCCCCCACATCAGGACTGAGGACTCCAGTCACCTGCTCAGCCAAGGCTCCAGGTCCACAGACTTCACGGCCTCTGCCTGCGGGCCGTGGCCCCTACTGGCTGGCTGCTGACCTCCTGCCCCGGAGCCCTCCCAGGCCCACCTCCTCCTGCCCCTCCAGCTCCCCATCCTGGCCCAGGTCGGGGGAGGGCCGAGCAGGAAATGAAGGCTGATGGAGGCTCCAAGGCCAGTGGAGGTCTCTGCAGCCTCCCCTGGGCCTTGCCCACCCTGCCAGCCTCCAGTGACCCTGGGGATGGCGGCCTCAGGGCCCCCCCGACCCCGCTCCCTCCCCACCCTGCTGAGGCCTGCCCGGATGGAAGTAGCTGGTGCCCTGGTCCCGGGCGGGCAGGTGGAGGGCCTGGCCGCAGCTTTGCGCCCTGAAGTGGGGGCTACACACAGGCACCATCGTCCCGGCCCCTCGGAGGCAGGCGTCTGAGCGTGCTCAGCGGAGCCGTTAGAGAAGGCTGCGGCAAGCATCTTCCATTAACGTTACGACCGTGAAATATGACAATAAAATGATAGCCGTATGGTCGCAAATTTGCAGCCCGCCGAGCTGCGTGGGGTTTATCGTCACTCAAACGCGCGGAGAGCTGTAAAATGTTTACAGAAAGGGTCGTTTGCAGCCATAAAATCCTCTTTTCTCTCCTAAACAAGGCTGAGTGGAGCCATTTACCAAGCCCCAAATGTTCATCGGGGGAGAGGAAACATCTGTTCTCTCCAGGAGCACGCGGTGATCTTCCAGAACAAATTAACAGAAATGGGTGCTTCCTAATTAAATCAGCCCTCGGCTGGGGTGGTCTGCGCGGCTGCGCTCACACCTCGGCCAGCTCTGCCCCGGTGGGCGGGGGGTGCGCACCTGCCAGTGGGGGACGTGGCCCAGCAGCACCCGGCCCACGCTGGGCGCTCGTCAACCATCCAGGCCCCACCTGGGAATTCTGACTCGGTGGGTCTGAGGTGGGCACTGGGGCCAAGCTGCCTACCTGAGTCCTTGGTTGGGGGGCTCCTGGGGGTCCGGGCCCTGGGCTGGCCTCCTGGGCTCGGCGAGGACTGCAGGGAGATGAAGGAAGGCAGCTTGGAGAGGCTGCTGGAGCCAGTCGCTGCCGCTGCCGAGGAAGCCTCCTCCTGGAGAGACAGCTCCT